AAATGCAGGAGGGGCAGAGAGAGAGAGGGAGAGAGAATCCTGAGCAGGCTGGACTGCTCTGGGCTGCGAGCTAGGGGCTTGCTTGGGATCCTCTCTCTCTCTCTCTCTGTCTCTCTCTCTCTGTCACTCTCTCTCAAAATAAATAAAAACTTAAAAAAACAATTTAAAATCTTAAAAAAAAATAGAACAGATTGTTGGGTGAATATGTGATAAAACAAAGTGTTAATTGTTGAATTTAGATGGTGGTTATATGGGTTTTTCCTGCTCAATTTATTCCTTTTTCAGTTTTTAATTTATCATGAGACGGTTCATCACAAAATGTTGGAAAATATATGTATCTAAGAATCTATATTTCTGAAGAGTGAGCTTGGGAGTAAGGATGGAGCTTTTTAGGTTATGTACTTCATATAAAGCAAAAATTGTAAATGATCCTTTGAAATAGTAATTCCACTTTAGGAGCCTATCCTAATAATTTTTTTTAAGTTAATTTGAGAGAGAGAGAGCAAGAGCAAGAGAGCAAGCAGGGGAGGGGGAGAGAGATAGGGAGACAATCTCAAGCAGACTCCGCACTGTGTGCAGAACCTGATGCGGGGCTCAAACCCATGATATGCAAGATTACAATCTAAGCTGAAATCAAAAGTCAGACACTAAACCAGTGTTGAGTGGCCACCCAGGCACCCTGCTAATATAGTAATTCTAAATATGGAAAATATAGAAATATAGAAAAAAATTTCATGCTGGAATTGTAAAAAAACATTTGGAAATATCCTGAATGTCCAGTAATAGAATGATCACATGGTATAGTAATTAGGTTCATTTTAAATGGTAAAGACAGTGTAATAACACAGCAAACGCTTATGGCACATTTCATGAAAAAAATTGTGATACAAAATTTTATCAACATGATTGCAATGATTTTTTTAAAGGCGTTCCTAATTATTTTTAAGGTTTATTCATTTTTTTGAGAGAGAGACAGAGTGCGAACGGGGAAGGGGTAGAGAGAGAAGGAGACAGAATCTGAAGCAGGCTCCAGGCTCAGAGCTGTCAGCACAGAGCCCGACACGGGACTGGAATCCACAACCATGAGATCATGACCTGAGGAGAAGTTGGACTCTTAACCAACTGAGCTACGCAGGAGCCCAATGATTTTTTTTTTTAATGGTATACACACACCCCATAGTGTTATCATATGACCAACAATTCCACTCTTAGGTAGATATCCAAGAGAAATGAAAATGTCTTTTTATGTCCACACAAAAACTGTGTATGAAAGTTCACAGCAGCATTATTCAAAATGGCCAAAAAGTGGAAACAGTCAAATATCTTTCAACTGATAAATGAGGAAACAAAATGTGGTATATCCATACAATGGAATATTACCCAGCAATAAATACAGCACTGAACCTGCTACAGCATGGATGAATCGTGAAAACAGTATGCTGAGAGAAGCCAGACACAAAGGACACATATTGTAGGAGTCCATTTATTTGAGATGTCCAGAACAGGCAAATCTATAAGAGTAAATTAGTAGTTACTTAGGGCTGGGGGGAGGGGAATATGGGATTTTTTGGGTATTAAGGAATATGTTCTAAAATTGGTTGTGGTGAGGATTGCACAATTCTCTGAATATATTAAAAACCAGGGAACTCTACACTTTAAATGGGTGAATTGTATATGAATTATATCTCAGTAAAGTTGTTACAAAAAAGGTTTTTCTAGTGGTACCCATAGGAAATTGGAAGAAAACATGTATTTGAGGTGGTGGAATTATAGGTAATTAGAATAAATTCGACTTCTTTGTATTTTCCAGTTGTTATGAGTATGTATTAG